TATGGTCAGTGCTTACGCAAATGGCTTAGAATACAGCATAGACGGCGAATTAATGCAGTTTGCTGAGTTGCTCAAAACGTATTGACAAATCGCACCAGCCACATCCATTTCCAGAAATTCAATATAAATTACTAATGGATAATTCATCAGTATCATATATTATGGTTGTAGCATGAATGGGTCGGCTCGACCGGGGAAGGACCACGCTCTCAAAGATTACCAGCGTAAAATAGCAGCTTAATTCTGCTGTGTTTCGTATGGTGAGTGTAGAGAACCGGAGACCCGCTTTACTGGAATCAAGGCATTCCATCTTAGTCCTCAAGGGCGACAACGCATCTGCATTTTGATTCTTAATCGAGGATAAATGTAGATGTCTTTAGGCCACAGCATCCACTTACCATCAGGTAGACTGTGTGCTCGTTTGTCACCCTTATCCTATTAAATAAAATAAATAAAAAATAAAAATCATGTTTCCCCAACTTAGAAACTGCTTAGCGCATTTATTGGCTCTCATCTTCAATAGTGGTGAACGTTCATTTTCGACATTGAAGCATATAAAAATTAATTTAGGGAGTACAATGAGTCAAAAACGCCTGAACAATTTCCCCGATTGTTATTGCTTAGAGAAATTTATACGGATAGTATTATTTTTAAATATGCCCACACGAAATCTAGAAAAGTTACTCCGTTTATGTTTAAAAAGTAATAAAAGAAACAAATTCCTGAAAATATAATATACTTTGTTATAAATACGAACTTTGAAATATATACAAAAAAACGTTTAAAACTACTTGTTAGTATCGTCAGTTTTAAATTACTAGTTTCTTATCAAAATCATTCTAAATTACCAGAACAATCTTACGTCTGACTATTTGTACTTGCCAGAGTCTAACAAGGCCTAGTGTTAAAATAATACTAGTTTTTACGGAATTTATCGCGTATATTTAACTTTTTAAATACCCGACGTTTCGAGAGCTTTACAGCACCCATGGTCACGGGAAGGACTGAGATGTTCAACGTCATTGTTTACATGCTTACCTGTTGAAGACTGCATCTCAATTGTAAATAGAAGGCTGGAAGAAAACAACATGCCCGTAGAATATGCAGTATTACTCAGACACTGCCTTACATCTGGCTACCTATGTGGAAGGAGGAGTTCTACAAGCAAGTAGATGGTGTGGCGATGGGCTCACCTGTCCCACCCATCTCCCATTGTCGCCGACATATTCATGGAAGACTTTGAGGAGAAAGCCCTGCTTACTTCTCCCATAAATCCAAGATTCTACAAGCGGTACGTAGACGACACTTTCACAATTCTACCTTTAGATAAAGTAACTGCATTTTTAGACCATCTTAACTCTATAAATTCTAAAATTCAGTTCACAATGGAGTTAGAGGCAAACAATTCCTTAGCTTTTCTAGATGTGTTAGTAATTCGGAATCCTGATAACACCTTGAGCCATACTGTGTATAGAAAAAAGGCCCATACAGATAGATATTTAAACGGTGATTCTCACCACCACCCTTCACAGTTAGCTACTGTGGGTAAATCTTTGTTTCAGAGAGCACGAGGGATCTGTGACAGTAAACACCTGGCCGCTAAGCTCCAACACGTCAAGCAAGTTTTGCATGACAAGAAGCTTCTGTTCCTATCCCTACGACACAGAGAACGAGTGAAACCGGCCACAGTCGAGCGTGTACCTGCTGTACTGCCATATGTTAGAGGAGTCACTGACAAGATTGGCTACATCTTGAAGCGCGCTTCCATCAAAACATACTTCAAGCCGCCGAAGAAGATTGGTCAGTTTTTACCATCAGTCAAGTGTAACGTCCCTCTGCAAGATGCAGGAATGTACAAGCTTGATTGTGAATGTGGTCTCTCCTACATAGGACAAACTAAAAGATCAATTAAAACCCGCGTTAAAGAACATATAGCTGATGTGAAGAATCGACGCTCCGGGAAGTCTGCAGTGTGCGAACACGTACAGGATCGCCGTCGTCACTACATCAGATTTGATAGACCACAAATCCTCGCTAAAGAACACCGATTCCTTCCAAGGATGATTCGCGAGGCTATTGAAATCAAAAAACATCCTAATTTCAATAGAGAAGATGGCTGGGTGGTACCCATCTGCTTGGGATCCTATAATAAATAAAATTAAATCCCAACCCAAGCATACAACTGCAAGACTTCATGATACCATAATTTCATACTGTGTAGATCGGAACAAAAGTTAAATTATAATCTATGGTAACCGCGATTAACTATGAAATCTGGACGTTGAACATCTCAGTCCTTCCCGTGACCATGGGTGCTGTAAAGCTCTCGAAACGTCGGGTATTAAAAAAGTTAAATATACGCGATAAATTCCGTAAAAACTAGTATTATTTCAATGTGTAGTGTTCGCGTAAATATAAGAAATCATTAAGGCCTAGTGTACTATTAAACACCAACAAATTGTAACCTATAAGATCGTAAATAAACTTATTGAGTATTGAATTGATTTTTACCACTTTTTACTTAAAAACCTATAGCAGATCAAGGGCCCCTCGATATAATTTGCTACAGGCCTCGCGCTTGCTTAAACCGGCACTGTAATCACTAGCTTGTTAAAGTCCATTGTCCTGCTGTAGAGAGAATTTTACTTTATCGTCACGCTAAGTGGGTCGATTAACGATCGCAACGACCGAATGTTACGCACCTACGACACTCCTGCGCGTCTCTAAAAAAATGCAAACGGATACAACATCTCTTCGCAGCGTTAGTGAATAAGCCAATCAGAAAGAACTCGGCCGTCAACGAGAAATTAGAGCCACTCTGCGTTGAATGCGGTCAAGTGGAAGGAGCTGGCACTGGGGCGCTCCGGCCTAGAGATGAGAATAGTATTCCACGTGGGACTGAACTTGCACCTTGTTATTCTCTATTGTCCCGCTTTGCTAAGCACGTCTAGTTTTTTATAGAATAATTTGATCTTCCTCACTAAGTGACCACGAAACTGTATGCCATTAAATATGTCGTTGCGAGGATTCCAATACTGGCCCAGGCAACAAGGAGAGTGCCTTAAAACTGAAGAGATACAACGAAGGGATTATTTTGGCGCAAAACGTCAGTGGGCGTGTATGGTGGAGCATTTTGCTTCCCCTTTTCTTTAATAATTTTAAGTAGGAATACAGCACTTGAATTAATTTATTTCTCAGGATTTAAGTTATACACAATTAACTAATGGTAAATCAACATATTTATTAAATTCTGTTTTAAGAACTTTAGTTAACAAAAGATTTTAGAAAACGTAATATTTTAATTGATTGACCGCTTTATTGACTTACTGGCCCTGTAAATTTCAGGGGCGGTACCATCATTTCCCCACATATGCCGTAGGTATTTAATTTGATAAACCCGCTTTAGTTCCGATCCATTTAATCTTAGTGCAGGGATAAATTCGGGATACTTGCCGGCTACCCTAAAGACCATGTATTCACTTTTATATATGTTGTATACAAGACCATGCGAGGTAGCGTAAGTCTCGCAGACCTTCAACATTTCTCCAATCGCATTCGCAGTGGGACTCAGCAACACCATTTTATCCGCATAGCTGATGCTATTGATACTAACACCACCTACGCGGCATCCAACACGCATGCTACTGAGCTCCACCAAGAGATCGTTAACATACAGGTTAAATAGCTTTGGAGACGATAACCCTCCCTGCCTCACTCCGCACTCCAATCTGTATGACTCGGAGAGACTGTTTGACCATATAACATAATTGGTCTGGGTTGCATACCAATACCGAAAAATATTAATCGTCTCCGCTGGTAATACCCCTGTCCTACATCTTCCTCCAAAGCACATCATATGAAACGAGATCGAAGGCTTTGGAGAGGTCCAGAAAACAGGCGTAAACAGGCGTCCTCCTGTCTGTGTAGTATTGGACAGTATGCTTGAGGCTCAAAATTGCGCTTTCAGTGGACAGTCCGGGCCAGAACCCGAACTGCGCATCATGCAGGTTTAAGTAATTTTGTAAGCCAGAGTCAAGCAGACCGTGCAATATCTTAGCTATCGCAGTAGCGAGGGAGATTGGGCGATAGTTTCTCTTATCCGAGATATCTCCTGTCCCGTTCTTCACTATGACAGTAGTTTTCATTAGATCAGCTGGTAAGTACGAGTGGCTGATGCACATATTGAAAAACAGGCACAGGACCCTCGGTAAATGCACCCCCGCATATCTCTGGTGCTCGGTACTAAGCCCGTCATGACCGGGAGACTTTCTTCTGCTCATTCCTTTTATTACACTTTTTACTTGGCTGGTTGTAAATAATAGCAACGGCCTTTCCCCGCGCACGCCGGGCCCAGACTCTGGCTTAGTAACAGATGGACCAAGTGATGACCCTTAAATTGTTCCATGAACAAATTTGCAATATCCCCCGGGTCACTTTTGCCATCGACACTCGCCGGGAGTGCAGGCCTAATATTCAGTTTCCCTGCGAATTTCCAGAACCTACTAAAGTTCTTTTCCGCTCTAAGTTTTGTTATTTGGTCCATTTTTATTTACTCCTGGTTATTTAAGCACCATTTTAGTCTGCCTTTAAAGATTTTACGTGATTCGCACATTTGCTCATATATTAGGCCAGAAGGAGGTCGACCATGCAAAACCCAGTCTTGGAATCGAAGCCTGGCCTCTCGGTGAGCTTCCCTAACATGCTTATTCCACCCACTCAAAACTTTGTTCCTCCGTGGTTTATCTTTAACCTGGGCCTTTGTCTGAACAGCTGCTGCAGCTGCAGCATACTTATGTGCTCGTATATATGTATTAGTAAATAACTTAATATCACCAAGTATTGATTCGGTAATAAACAAATGAAAAAATTCTACAGGTGTTTTACAATTCAAAGGTTCCTCACCCCTTACTCACGGCCTGTTTATAATAATATTTTTATGATATTCGGTAGTGAAGGTGGGTGAATTAGCTATTTAGTGCAATCTTTACCTTGAGACATCTCTAGTAGATCGTCGTTGAGAACTTTGTTAATAGTTCATCATCATCACTGGAAGAACGTGTCGAAGGTTTATCACGAGGTTGTATTGTACGTTTGTGACGCCGATATCGACTAAGGCTTCTCTCTGTAGTATATGTTCGTTGGCGTCGAATAGTTTGTATTTCAGAGGGCACAGTAATTGGAGATGGTACTTGCTTGTCAGTATCGTCGTTGTCTGCTGAATGTTCTGTGTCCGTATTATGATCACTATGATAACTAGATCGACTACCTTCTAACACATTTTCGCTGACAAACTGTGAACTAGCATTTTCAAAATCAGACATTTCCTCTAGCCAATAAACAATTTGAGCGTCCATTTTGTTATTATTACTTGATAGATCTTTGAATCCTAAAAATAAAAGCGTTCTTTTTTAGTTTTTACAATAAATTCACCACAAAATATAGTCTACATTTCAACTTCTCAAAAAATACCTAATACAATTTTTACTTACGTGAGTGGGCGCGCGGTGAGCAATTTACCGGCTTGCGACACCGTGTGGTAAGAACCTTCTTCTCAAGAGGTCCCACGCGCACTGATGGCGTGATGGCATCCAGTCTTTCGGCACGCGTTGCGAACGAAAGTGGGGGCAGCAACTGAAAAGTACAAGTCTAACGGACAATTTTTTACGAATTATTAACGTTTTTTCAGCGCGGGCGACAAAATGGTCACAGCACGCCCACTGCCGGACTAGTAGTGCACACTAATGCCACATGAGTAAAGAAACCGACCAGAAGCAAAGCTTTATACAACCGCGCTATGATAGGTACACTACTACAAGCTTGAGGAGCGTTTGTGCGTGAGTACTGGCGGCACGTCACGTACAGAGAGTAACTACTTTAAACCAACTGAACCAAAACTCAAATTTAGTTCAGCAAAATTTTCGCGAATATTGTGATATATTATATAAAAACTATACAAGCTTTTATATAGCTTTGTGAGTGATTTCTATTAGACTATTTAAAACAGAAACTTTATGAAACATTTAAAATGTATTAGTCAATTAATAGGCACAACAAATTATTCAAAAACAAAAAATATGGAAAAAATATTTAGAGTAAGCAGTTTGTAAAAAAATATTCTATCACAGGTAGGAATAAAAAGCTGATAAACGTTTTGTTTATTTAAAATTACCCTCCTGTGTTAACCTGTACGGTTACTCTGTGCGATATTTGACAAATGACTAAAAACGGACACCCTAAAAACCATAAATGTATGCTTACTTTACCATAATTCCAATGGTTAAGACTTATTACATTATAACTGCCCAGTGTCTTATTCAAAAAACTCTTTTTCGAAAAACCGTGCTTTCTCGTAATAGTTACTGTGCCCTCTGTCGTGTTGTGGCAATGGATAAAAATCTATTACACCATTCCTCCCGTGAGTATCAAAGACTCGTCATGATAGGCATCAAACATCTAGTGACATATGGTAGACATGGAAGAACCGTCTCGTTTAACAACAAATTTAGTATACCATCTGGAGATCCTCTATAAACTAGAAAATTTGTGTAAACTCAGACTTTACAACATCAAAATTGATCTAATTGGAGATACCATATTAAGTTACGTGTTATACAAATTTGGACAATGTTAAGTTAAAGTTTAGGGTTTAAATAGTCTCCTAATAGTCCTTAAAGTATAACATACATATTGCGTATAAAAGTGTATAAAAATTTTTGCATATGAGATGTAGCAGTCTTTGCGCATTGAAGTTTTAGTTTAAATCAGCTAATACTTCACAATATAGAGAAGTCAGTAATAATTAATTTCGAATTTTACTCAATTACGCTTAGAGCTTCACTTATTTATGAAATAAATAACGACTAGCTGCGATGCTAAAAATTAAATTCAAAAGCATTCTTATTTACAATAGAGGCGTCCTCCTTTGTGGTCTTAAGAGCATTTTATTTATTAATAAATACGTTTACGTGCTTCCGCTGAAATAATATTAATTTAAATATAATACCGGATTTTGTAATTAGTGATTACTTTTAGCTGTCCATAATATTTATGTACTTATTATCAGCTAAAAGTAGTCTTAGAAGAAAAATGAAAGCTCCTAAAAATGTTAACCTTATCTTCTAGTGTCAACATGGTGCACAGCCTGTATAAGTATTTCGATAGTTGTTCCAAAAAAGACTAAATTAACTATTTCAAAAATATCAAAGCATTTACAATAAAATATATGATTTTGATTTTTATGTATAAAGTCACACACATGCTGAGATACAATAATTTCATTTACACTTCTCATTTTAATGGTTTTCAAATAACATACTGAACAAATCATGTCAATGACGTCATGCACGAAGTAAGAATTGGCGAAACAATAATACAGAGTTGCATTAAAAGGAACATTAATAACTTAATACGAAGTGTACAACGTTTTTATAATTAAACTTAGCGCAATCAATTAAACCGTATCGTTATAAGATGAAGTTAATTTTCCTATTTAGTCCTGCATTTTTGAGTAGTTTAGCTGTTTCGTTACCATTGACGGTTTGTTTATTATTATAGTATATTAAGGACGGTTTGACTGAAAAGATATAGTTGAATATATATGTTATATATTATATTTGAGCAAGATTGATATATGATATATATAATCACAAGACTTTGCCTACTTTCGACGGCTGAATATTAATGAATACTTTGAACATTTTAAAATATTTAATCACTTTGACTGCTTTTGACGCTGAATGTACCAAAGCTGTCCCGCAGCGCCGCCTGCTCACGGTATGTCAATATAAACTAGAGTAAATATCGTAAGCAATTCTTGTAAATATATAAGAGTATATTTGGATTCTCAGAAATATTTTGTCAGAGTCATATTTTTTCAGTACCTACATTTTATGTTTATGTATTACTCTTTTTAATACATAATATTTAGTTTACTTTCTATTTATTATTACCACTCCAGTTGGATTCTATTAATCGAATATTTGAAATAACAATAAGGGACACCATGGCACTATTTTGTACAGAGCTTCTGATAAACTAATCATTTCTCATCAAGCTGTGAAGAGTCTGTCATAATCATCATAAACACTCACGTCTATCACCCAGCGGGATAGACAGAGGCTAGGGATTTCCATTTAACACGATCCTGACACACATCTCTCGCCTCCTTTATATCCATATACCTACGTATACATGCTCGTCGGTTAAAGGTACTCTTAATTTTGCCCATGTCCCGAAAGTTTACTTCAAGCGAGCACGGGGCGAGACGGAGGATCATACCAGCCCTGGGAAAAATAAAAAAAATCCATATCGGTTAGTTCAGTTATAACGGACAAACTTATTAAAATTAGGACAAATGAAGCAAAAAAGGTCGCTAGGTTTATTATAATTAACGTAGTTTCTTTTAGTCGTAGTTGAAAAAAAATCACTTAACTTTTGGCTCTTCATTAAAAAATCACATACTATACTATCCTAGGCAAGTTACTTCAAAAGATAGCTCATTTATTCTTAATTTCAAAATGATATAATACGTATCACTTATCATCCATAAATAATAAATTAATTTGATTTTTCTGAAATAAGACCTAAAATCAAAACAGTTCCACACCTACACTACAATACATTTCATCTTATAAATATTGAATTCGACAAGTTCAAATGTGATAGAGATGTTTTTGAAAAAAACAAGTAATGACACCACTTCATGTGAGTCAGAGCGAGACAGGTAGAGATTCTATTTGATATTCGACCAAATTATGTTAGATCGTATTTAAAGAAGCAACTCTGTCAATAAGTTAGGAGACAAAGTACAAAATAAAAAATATAGATTTTAATAAAATATTTAATTTTAAGTTATAAAAAATATCGCTTCTTAAAAAAGATCGCTTCACTAATCTTCCGTATTTTCTTAAATTAATTTCTGCAACAGCTGCTGTAAATTTCTTTCGTAGTTTAGTTATGTTTTGAATAGGTTTTGCATAATTTTTTTCTTTTGTGCAACCCCAGTAAAAAAATCAAAAGGGTTTAGATCTGGAGAGCGAGGTGGCCACGCAGTTGTACCAAGATGGCCAATCCATTTATCAGAAAGTTCATTATTTAGATATTCCCATACCGGAAGTGCATAATGCGCTGGGCAACCATCTTGTTGAAACCATATTCCTTCAAGTATGTCGTGCGGTACATATTCTAACAAGACTCGCAAATGGTTTTCGAGGAAATTTAAATAATTCTCACCATTCAAGGTCTCTGGTAATTCAAAAGGGCCAATAATTTCACCGTTTATTGTTCTTGTCTACAAATTAACCTCTCGCATTTAATGTGGATTTTCAGTATGTCAACCATGAACATTATGAATGTTGGAATAACCATATTATTTGCATGTTGTTTCATTGTTCCATAATCTTATATTCAAAAATTGCGGATTTTCGCCATTTTTTTGCTAACAGTGTTCTGCAACAGTTTATTCTAAGAGAGTAGCCACGCGGTAGTAAATACTTTGCTCGTTCACATATTAAGGGTGGTATAATTATTACAGCTTATTTAATTTTTTTAAGAAGCGTCAAAGTTCGAAACGTCAAAGAGATGATCGAGAGACACCAGTTTATTTTAACTTGCCAACCTTTATTTGTACTGTGATTAAAAGCCAGTTTCTTTAAGACCACTGTTAAAAAATTGTCACAATACCTAATGATATGATTTAAGGAGTCAATTTTCCCTTAATGTATATATACATATATATATATATATATATATATATATATATATATATATATATATATATATATGTGTGTATATATATAATTTAAAATTTGAGATAAAAGATATAAGATAAATAACAAAACGTTTTTTAATATAAATGTTACGATTTTGTTTCGTACGCAGCAGCGTCTGAATGGTATCTAGTATTTTAACAATGTTTTTATGTTTTTAAACCATGCATACATGTAATCAATTTCATGCAAAATGGCATCACCGTGAAAACGAAGATAAAATACCTGACTACTTTCCATATACTGGTTTTTCTTCCCTTCCAACTGAAGGTGTACAGTAAGTGTACCGTAGCTTACAGTTAGAAATATTAAAAGTGTTGCACCAACTCACATCAATAAAAAATATTCTTTTCGGATTAATCAAAATGCAAATGCGTTGCCAACCCTGAAGACTAAGATAGAGTGCATCGTTTACAGTAAATAATAACTCTACCTTACTTATGAAACACAGCTATTTTACGCTGCTATATTAAGCTGCTATTTTACGTTGGTATTCTGTGAGATCATGGTCTTTCCCTGGTCGAGCTCCATTAGTGGTAATACTATGTTATAGCTGCAGCGTGGTTATTCCATGTACAAATTGCGCA